CTCTGACCCCAGCCTCTGCTTCGCTCTGGGCGGGACAGTAATGCGGCCTGGACCAGAGCTGCAGGGGCCACTGGCCCTGACCGAGGGCCTTGCCAGCCGCGTGGTCTCCTGTCCACGGGTCAGGGCCACCTCCTGCAGTAGTAACTGGGCACCCGTGACCCGCCCTCATTTCCGGTGTCAGAGGATGACCCAACCAGAGTTTTGCTGGCCCTCTGGGCTTGGTTCTAGAAACTGAAAGCCAGGGGCTGTGTGCGCCCAGCCGCCCGGCCGGGAGGGCCCTCTCTGAGCGTTTGTGGGCCTGCTGTCCCTGGCGAGGCAGAGCCGCTGGCAGGAAGCCCAGCAAGGTGAGCGGAGCTGAGCACCCGTTTTCTTCCCGCCGGACGGCTTTGACCCCGAGTGCAGGCCTGGGGCCCGCAGGCCGGGCTGGTGTGGAGAGAGGACGCCGCGCCCGTGCAGACCGCCCGTCCTGCGTCCCGGCGGGATGCCGGCCCAGGTGCGGGGAGGGCCGGGAAAGGGCCGGGGCGCGAGGCCCCGGGAAGGCGCAGTCACGGCCGGTCTTGCGGGCGCCGCGGAGGCGGCTCCAGACAGGCGCGCTCGCTCCTCCCGCTGCCCGCGCTGCTCTCGCTACTGCGTCACGTGCGGGATGTCATCAGGCGGGCACCGCGCAGGTCGGGGACGCCGCCCTCCCTCACCCCCGCGAGTGCTTGGAGCGGGGCAGGAAAGCAAGGCCGCCGGCAAGCAGGGCTTTGGGCAGCGCGGGTCGGGCGGCGCTAACAGCCACAGCGCACGGACCGAGCTGCACGAAGGGGCGGGTGCTGTCTGTCTCTGTCCTCTCGGGCCCAGAGGCCCCGCCGCGACGCCACAAATGAGGCCAGGCCACGGGCTTCACGAAGCGTGCAGAACGCCGTCTCCCCAGCCGTCGACCATCGGAGCTACAGCAAGACGCCCGTCGTCGTCCTGGAAAAGCCGAGGTCTTCGCCCACGTGTCCCACGTGCTGAGGGCACATCGCTCTTGGCAGAAAGCCAGCAGACACGCGTGCAAACGGGATCTTCCCCGTGGGAGCACTGGCAAAGCTCGCGGCCGTGGTAGCGGAAGCCTGCAGCAAATCCAAACGTCCCTGCAAAACGCCTGACCCCTTTCTAACGGGAGAGGCTGCAGCTCCGCGTTTCAGGGGGGTGAACCAGGCTGTCGCCTCAGCCCCGCCAGACCCGAGACTTCAAGCGGGGGAGGCCTGACGGTGGGAAGCCCGAGGTCCAGGGGGACAGGCGGGCCTCCCCTCAGCCCGTGGACAGACGGCCACCTCCCCCGTGTCAGGACACCGGTCAGATCGGGTTAGGGCCCACACTGGTGGCCTCGTTTTACTTGATTACCTCTTTGAAGACCCCGTCTCCAGTCAAATAAACGTCCCCTCCCCCGCGTCAGATTACAGCGACTTCTCTTTACCCACAGGACGAGTGTGTCCGAAAACCCAGAGAACCTTCTGGATTCCAGGGGTCCTCCTCCCTGCCCCCGTGTGGAGCGGTGGTCACTTTCCCTTCTGTGATCAAGTTCACTCACCCAGCACGCCGAACCACCCATCGCGCTGGGGACCGTCACCGGCACTCCCCGCCACGCCCGGGGGCCCGGGAGCACAGGGGCCTTCGGGGAGCACAGAGGCCTTCAGCACAGCCTTCTTCTTTGCAGGTGAAACCGGGTGCCAAGGTCTTTACCACCTGCTGTAGAGAAAACGTGCTCGCGCCTCACGGCCACACATTGCTGAGAAACAGTGCTGTCTCTTCCCGCTAAGAAGCTGCATCTGGAGCGTCAGCCTCAGCAGTGGTCGCCCCTCCTGAGCTCCTGACGCTTCGGTGGCCCAGCCGTCCCCTGTGCAAGTCACGGGGAGCTCGGTGGGTGTCGGATTGCGGTCACCACCCTGAATCTCGCAAGGTCTGCAGCCCGGGCTCCATGCACCTGCCCGCACGGGCTCCTCTCCTCACTGTGGCCGCTGTGGTTTCCGGGCATTAGTGTCCCCTGAGCCACCTGCAGAAACCCCCGGGACGCCTGGGCGTGCCGTCACACAGGGCGGGCCCGCTGGCCGTCTCAGGAAGGTGAGGAAGGAGCCGGTCTCTGGGGGCACAGGGGTGTGTGCCCAGGGGAGCGGCCCCCTCCACGCACGGGGCCTCGGAGCTGACGCCGGCCGGGCGCTGGTCAGGTGGCCCTGATTCAGGTGGGACCTCCTCTGTCAGACTTACACGTGGTTTTGCCTTGTTTTTGTTTGTTTCCAGGCTTTCTGTCTTTGTCCTGCTTGTTGTACAAATCAAGTGAGGTTTGAGTGGGCTGACTGTGCACACACACCCCCACCTCGTCTCTGGCGGTCGTGACCTAGCCGTTGGCCCTGGTGATCCGGAACCCCGTCCCCGCAAGATCGGGGTCTCGCGTTCAGCCCACAGTGAAGAGCCTCGCGGGGTCTTTGAGAACGGAGGGGCTCTCTTCACCACGTGCTCCCGGGCCCAGGGTGAAGACGGGCGGCGCCGAGCAGGTCGCACACATCCACCTGCCGCCACAGTCCCACCTCCCGAGCTTTGCGGTCCGTCCTTGGGATTCACTTCATGTAGGCGACCAGAGAGCCCACGTTGCCACCAGCCAGTTAAAAGCTGGGGGCCGCCCTCAGCTGTCCCAGCCAACGCCAGAAGCCAGAGCGCAGGGTGGGGGACGCCACGCCCTCCAGCCTGGCCCTGGTCCTCGCGGTCACTGCCCTTCAGACTCGCCGCGGTTCTGCCCGTAAAACTTGTACAACCCTCTGGTGCACGTGGCCCGTCCTCCCGGTCAGCTGGTAGCTGAGCCCTGGACCCTGGGATTTCAGGCGGGTTTCTGGGGACCCAGGTGCCCCCAGACAAGGGGAAGGTGGATGGGGGCAGGGCAGTGACAAGTGCCCAGAGCAGGCGGGGTCTGGGCCCCCTCCCCTTACTGGACTCCATCCCTGTCCTCTCCCAGGGGGCCCCGTCACTGGCTCAGGCCTGCAGGGCTGCGACCCCAGGTGCGCTGCCAGGGGCCTGAGAATCTAGTCTCCAGGAAGCGTGACGCTCAGGCTACGGGACAGAAGGGCTTCTCGCAGGCCAGCACAGGCGCTGTCTGGTCCTTACAAGGTCCGAGGTCCGGGGCGGGCATTCAGCCCGGGGTTTCTCAGTGCCTGGGGCCCGGCTTTGCAAGTTTCCACCCTGGGGCACTTGGTCACCAGAGCCTCCTGTAAACAGTCGGCCGGGTGATGCCTGCGCCATTGTTCTGTGGCCGTATGTGCTGCAGACCACGGGCAGCACGGCCACTCGGGCCTCTGGATCCCGTCTGCTCAGCGAACTCCATCTAGATTTCTATCCTGAGGTTCTGTTTCCCAGAACCGCACCTGCACTCAAGCCTTGGTCAGTGGAGAAACAGCCCTGTGCTTTTTTTTTTTAATGTTTTATTTATTTCTAGGAGAGAGGGAGACAGTGTGAGCAGGGGAGGGTCAGAGAGAGAGGGAGTCACAGACTGAAACAGGCTCCAGGCTCTGAGCTGGCAGTCAGCACAGAGCCAGACACGGGGCTCGAACCCACGAACCGCGAGATCATGACATAAGCGAAAGTCGGACGCTTAACCGACTAAGCCACCCAGGCGCTCCAGCCCTGTGCTGATTATTAAGGAGATGCAGGGTGGGTGGCTGGGTGGCTAGGGGGTTGGCGTGAGGGTCTTCTGGAAGGAGACACCTGGGGTGTCAGCCTGCCGTCCCGGACAGGACAGGACAGTCCCCCGCGCGGACGCTCGCACACCAGCATGGTCTCGGCTCGTCCGGGCATCCCGCGGCTCGCCGCGCTCTTGCTCTCTCTGCCGGATGGCGAGGCTTCCTTGTTTTGGGTCTGGAGAGCCATCCTCAGTGGCCCCCCACTGGCCCCGCGGAGGACAGAGGGTGGTGGGGGTGAAGGAGCCGGGCCCTGGGCCCGTGTGCACGGCATGGCTGCTGCAGCCTGGTTCCTCTGTCCCGGTGATGTGTGCGCAGCAGACCGTCCCGTCCGCCCGCCTCCCTGTACGCGGTCTGGACTGAGCCGCGTCCGGCAGGCGCACGCTGTCCTGAACAACCCAGACGGGGCTGCACTCTCCAAGCCCGGCCCCGTGGCTGGTGGAGGTGGGTGCTACTCAGCAGGGTGCATGGGCACTCCGCGGGCCGAGTGGCCGAGTCACCGCGTCCCTTCTTCCTCTAGCTGAACATGAAGATCCCTGAGCGGGGTGGCGACACCTAGTCCTGTAAACCGCTGCTGTCGCTTTGCAGCAAGTTCATGAATTACGTCTGTTTTCTGGGTAAACCCCAGGAGAAGGGCCACTGCAGGCGCCAGAGGGGCCCGGAGACACCGCGGGGTCAGGACCCAGCGCTGCCAAGGAGGGCCCCCCACGCTTCAGGGCCAGGGTCTCGAACCAACTGAGAAATCAGGCCATTGTGTGAAACAAAAGCAAAGCCGTGAGGAACATCCTAACCTTGAGTTTCAAGGAAACACCTAGAAAAGGCCGGAGACACTGCCTCTCCCACGCGTAACGTGTCCCTTGTGTGTACACTTGTGTTGCTTTTAAGTCTGTGGATGTATTTGCGCCTCACCCTCCCCTGCAGTGCAACCTCACAGCCATGTAACTTCTTGCACGCAAGGTGCACCCTTGGTTTCCAGAGCCCGAAACAGGTCGGGGTCCCTGGGCGTCCCCCCTGAGAACCAGTGAGCCGTCAAGGGCGGGTGGAGGCCCGTGAGACGCTGCAGACATGCCCCTGGCCTGGGACTTCCACTGACACAGGCCTGGACCCCGGGGAGTCTAGTTCACCGCAGGCTCGGCGCTCGACAACCTCAAGGGCAGGTGAGGACCAAGGAGGCGGCCTGGCCGGCAGTGTCCCCACTGCGCGGAAGCTTGTTTCCGTGGGCGGTGTGTTCAGACATGACGTCAGGGGGGTGGCTGCCGGGGGGTGAGGGCGGGGAAGCTGGTGCGCCGCGTGGGCGTCTGTTCTGCCCTTGAACCGGAGGACTAGAAAGAGTGACCTCTGATTTCCAGAAGCTTGGGAACAAAACCAAAATAGCGACACGGTTTGTGTCCCTGGGGTGAGCGCTGGGGGCTCGGGAACCTGCTGGCCACCACTTCCTGGGGGCCTTCCCCACAGCGCCGGCCGCCGAGCTGGAAATGGGTGAAAAGTTGCAAACACGCTGATAATCCACCCTCATCGGCCGCCTGGGCCACCAGCGGTGGGGGAAGTAGAGGTTCTGGAATGAAATCTAGATAAGGGCAAGTAGCCTGCTGTGGGGGCGGGGCGGGGGAGGGGACGGCCGGCTGTGAGGGCCGGGAGGGGGGCGGCCGTCCACTTTGTCCCCAGGGGCCAGGGGCCCCTTCCTGGGGGACACGCCCTGCTCCCCAGATGTGGCTCCCCCTTGGCCACCTGTGTGGTCTCTGCACCTGGCAACTGTGCTCTCCTGCCATGGAACTTTCTAGGCTCGTGTGCTAATGAAAACACAGGAGAGGTGAAGTGTGTGCCACTAAGGCGCTGTCCCCTCCATGCCCACAGTGAGCGCCTCACCCCTGCAGTGCCGAGTGGCACGGGGTTGCCGGATCCCGCAGGCCGGGCCCCACTGGGGTCATCGGTGTCCCTTGGCGAGGCCACACTCACCGGTTTTTCCTCTCTTTTCACTTCCAGCCCCGCCTCGGGGTGAGGTGACAGTGAGCTGCACAGAGGGAGGCGGCCTCTCCTGGGGCAGGAAGGGAAGGAGGAGAGCAGGGCGCCACCCCTCCCTCCACGTGCAGGCTTGTGCGACCCTGCGGCCCCTGCCTCCCTCAGAATTGCTGTGGAACACCTTCCCCCCACCCCTGCAGAGTCTGGAGAGCAACCCTCAGGGGCGGCCCCCACCCCCGCAGCCCTCCCTCCACAGAGTCTGGAACAATCCGCAGGCGCGGACCCCTGCAGCCCGCAGTGTCCCACACAGGTGAGCACCACACACATGACTACTTTTCACTGCTAAGGGCCGGGCAGGAAGGGCCGGCTGTGGCCCCTAAGTCCCGGTGACCTCCCGGCCTGGCCTCAGCGCCCCACCTGTCAGGGCCACCCGTCCACAGAGATGGGGCCACCTCCCTGTTCTCAGGGACGGATGGGGGCGTCCACCACATACCCACAGAGCAACGGAAGCAGGGCTGAACCCAGGGCCGCCCGCGGTGGACCCTGATGACCCAGAGAGGTGCCCACGACAGCATGTGTGTGCACCGTGCCACGGGAGGGCCTGTCCCCTGCTCCCGGACAGTCCTGGGCCTGGAGGTGAGCCCCCACGCTCCGGCCGCTCGCCCACCTACTTGTGGGACGTAAATTATGCTCTCGCCCCAGGCGAGTGTTGTTGTAAAGCTGGAGTTTGTGTTCAGGTTGATTATCTTGAACTTGGGCTAATGTTCCATGAAAAGAGAGTCTCTATCATCAAATTCATTAATTAAGGTCCCATTTGCGGGCTGATTGTGCATGGGCGTCACTTGTGTGACAGGGAGGCCCTGCTCCCCGCCCGTGAGGCCACTGTGAGCGCTGGGGCCGTCTCCACGGGGCAGGGACACGCTCCTCGGTTCCAGCTCAGCTGGGGGGTGCACTTCGAGCTCAGGCTGGGGCCTGGGGTGGGGGTCCTGTGACCAGGGGGCCGGCCAGCCATCGCTTCCCCGCGGAACTGCGTGCCCAGCGCATTGCCCTCTGGTGTGCGGGAGCAGGGCTCGGGGGGCCTGGGGCGGCCTGGCCGCTGTCCCGTGACCCCGGGCCCTGTTCCTCTGCTTCGTCTCCCCCTGCCCCTCGGCTCCATTCCCTCCTCCTCCTCCGGCCGCTCCTGGGTCTCTCCTCGAGCCCCCAGCCCTCTTCGGGTGCAGCAGGCTTGCTCACCTCCTAGGCAGGCTCTCAGTGACAGCTCCTCAGCCAAAGGCGCTGGGACCCTCCCTCCCCCCTCCCTGCCCCTGCACGGGGACGCCACAGCCGCGTTTCCTGTGGAGCAGCATCACCTGACCCGCGGGTCCCCCAGGGCAGTCACCGTGGTCCAGCCAGGGTGCCCGAGGGGCGCGAGTCCAAGCCCGGCAGGGACGTGACCACACTGCTGTGCCCCTCTCCTGCCCCGCGGCAGCCGCGTGTTCACACGCACCATCTGGGCTATTCCCAGAAATGCTCCCAATTTTACGAGCTTCTCTCTGGGTCTTCCTCACACAAGATTCCCTCCTGCTGCATCCAGATAGGTCACTAGCAAATGTCAAAGTGTCACATGAAAACCACATTTCCTTTGTCCTGGGGTTTGTCTCTGCTGCCTGCAACCTGGCGGATTATTGGATATTTGCCTTCCATCCTTGGCTGCCCCATGTCAGGTGGGCCTGAGAGACTTTGGCAAACAGCCCCCACCTGCCTGCACCCACCCCCCTGCACCCACCCACCTATGTCCACCCACCCACCTGCACCCACCCACCTCCACTGCCCGCCTGCACCCGCCCGCCTGCACCCACCACTGCCTCCCGGCCCTGCCCTGGGAACTGGGGACTTCCTGCGCAGGGGCTGCAGCAGGGGCCTGAAGCCACCCTGCTCGCTGCCGCCCTACGCTCTCCCTGACCCGCGCCCCTGGCGTTGCTGCCGCCTCCTCCTTCGCCCACGCCCCTGGGTAAAAGCGTCCTGTCCCTCCTGGCGCCCTGGGCTCTGGACCGGCCCCTCCCTGCACCGTCAATGCTCTCCGTCCTCTCGCCCCATCTGTCACAAAGGCCGGCGCCAGGCTGGTGGTGGGGGTGGGGGGCGTCGTTCCTGCAGGGCAGGGGCTAATGGGGACATAACCTGCTCCCTCAGCCGCCCCTGGCCAGGCCCGCCGACGCCCCGCACGAGTGTTGTGCGCGGGACCCCACCAGGCTTGACTGGAAGAACATAAGGGTTGTGCTTTCAAAGTAACGCAGCACCTTGAGGAGCAAAGGCAGGGGGTGCTAGCCTGGTGACCCCCCATGCCCCTGTTCTACGCCCATCATGGCTATTTCCCTGCAAGATTACAGTCCCTAAACCGCACCGGCAGCCCCGCTCAGTCTGGCCCGCACCCACGCCGGGAGCGGTCGGACCTGCAGACATTCGGCTCCTCTGGGGCTCTGCGCGGGATGACCACATCCCCGTAAGGGACACAGAGTCACAGCCGGCTTGCTGGAAAGAGTGGTATTAGCCACCCCACGTGGGCCACGGTTCATGCCAAGCTTGCAAAAGCCCCTTCTCGCTCTAATTCCTGTTTTGGGCACTCGGGGGCTCAGTTCATCAAGGCTCTTACCAGGTGGGGCTTCTGGTCCGGAACTCCAGCCTTCGTGGTCACACTTCCTTGGAAGTGGCAGCAGGCCCTGGGGGAGGGGGCCCCGGGGGAGGGAAGACCTCCCCCCCCCCTCCGCCGGTGAGCTGCCTGCCCGCCTCTTACAGCCCCGCCCCAGGGCCTTCCAGGTGGTGCCCACCCACTGCACCCCAGCAGCAAAGCGGGGGCGCCGCCTCTTGGGGCTCACCCAGCGCGCAGGGGCCGGGCTGGTCCTGGGACTGCAGATAAACTCTTCACCCCTGGGCCACAGTCCTCCAGGGAAAGGGCAATTTTTTCAGTTTCATGGAGCCGACGCCAGGCATGCTGGAAGGCAGTCGTCCCTCCCCCTTTCTGCTCCCGCTTCCCTGCAGGCTCCTCCCCACCCTCCTCCCCTGCCTTCTCCTCCTCCAGGCCCCACTCTCCCCACAGGGCCTGAGACAGGGTCAGATGGAAAGGTCATGACGTTTCCTTCCCTGGGCTTCACCGCCTTCCCACCACGTGATCCTGGCTGAGGGGCTTTCCAGATTCTTTGGCTTACTGGCACCAAGGGGACAAATACCCTGGCCGGTGTCACTGTCACTGTGAGGGAGGGGACCGCATCTTCCTGGCACCCGGGCGGAGAGTGCGGAGGGGCGGGGACTCCCTCTGCCTCAATTGTACCAGCTGGAAGGAGGCACGTCACAGCGGCTCCCCTGGTACCGACGGCTGCCCGCTCCAATCTGGGCTGTCCCTTCACTGGAAGGCCTGACCGCCATGAGCAAGGCTGACCTCACGGGTCTGCAGCCTGGGCGCCCACACCCCACGAGAGAGGCCTCGTCTGGGCGCCGGGGACACCACGTGGCCAGCCAGACGTCTGCAGGGGCAGCCAGGCTCAGGTTCCCTTAATCCGCGATTATCTGCCTTAGGAGACAGGGGGTCCCAAGCATCTTTCCACTTGAAAGTCCTGGAGCTTTGGAAGATCTTGTTTCTGTCTCTTGTTTTATGAGAGAGAGAGAGAGAGAGAGAGAGAGATGTGGACAGAGCATGGAGAGGAGAACCCGCAGTGGGTAGGGCTGAGGCGCGAGAGCCGGGGAGGCGGGCAGGGGGCGGGCGCGGAGGGAAGGCGGGTGGCACGAATCAGGCACAGTCTCCAGAGGAGGCCACCGCTTTAAATCTTAATTGGTTGCCTTTTAAATATCATTTAAGGACTGGTGTCCCTGCCTCTCTCTCTAGTTAAGAAGGTGTCATGTCAAACTCTATTACCTTGCTGGACGTGTCTCCCTTAAGTTAAAAGAAGCGGGGGGGGGGGGCAGAGAGGGAGAAAAAAGAAAGAAATGGAGGCATCAGCGGCAGTTTGAGGGTCGATAAAGCTTTTAGATTTGGAGACGTTTTCCGGGAGCCCATTTCCTGCGGCTAAGAGTTGTTAATGGAGCTTAAGGAATTATCTGAGACTGGGCCGGCCTGGAGCCGTATATTTCCCCCGCACCGTTTCCCTGTCGGGTCTGGATATGCTGCTGTCAGACTCGCTTAATGAAAAGTAACGCGCCGCTGATTACAGTTTTATTTGGGCTCTATGTAAAGAGCGCCGTTAATTTAGCATCCCTTCCTTGGTGTGTTTGAATTGGCCACGCCTGAATGGCTGAGAGCGCGGGTCCCCAGTGCCCCTTCCCTGACAGCTTCCCCGGGAGAGAAGTGGGGCCCCCGCCCCCCAACCGCGACCTTTCCCTTAAGCGCCGACTCTTAGAATCCAGGTCCGGTCGCCACCCTCCCCTCCCCACTCCTTGCATCCTGTCCCCTGCCCCCTGACTCGCCGAGGGGATCTCCCTCCCGACCCCCACCCGGGTGCACACAGGCCAGAGGGTGGGTAAGGGTGCCTACGGCCAGCCTTCCAGAGTATTCTCCCCAAAGGTAAGGGGGAGGTCTAAGTGACAGCCCCTGGGGGACGTGGCCGAAGACCTCGGCCCCACCTGATGTCTTTATTTCACACAGTTTTGAAGACGAATCAAATAAATCTCTCCCAGTCAGCACCGCCAAATCTGGGGGCTCCTGCAATGCAGGATTCTGACCTCGAGTCTGCAGGGACAGGTCCGGCTTCCTGCCCCACAGACCCTGCCCAGAGTGTGAGGTCTCAACGGCGGCGGGAGCCCTCTGGGCCCTGGGCTGGCTGCGGGGGGAGGCGGGAGGCGGGAAGGAGGGGCTCCAGACCCAGCCGTGTCCCCGAGGCCCCCGCCACCGTGCCAAGGGCCCAGGCCACGGGCCCCCCAGCCCCTATCCTGCTGGCCGCACCGCCTGCGTCAGCGAAGCCTCATTTTTGCTGAAAATGCCTGGCTTTGTCTGGGGCTGGGCTGGGGGCGCGGGGGCAGCCGCCCTAGGCCGCATTAAAATTCCTGGCGCCCCAGCCGCGCACAGCGCGTCTCCCTCGAGACTCCACTTTCGCTATTACTGTCAAGTACCCTTGACTCTTTATTTTTGCCCTTTTATCTATTACAACTAATTCGAGTTCTTTTGCCCTTTTCAGTCTAAGACGTGGGCTTTCTGCAAAGCCTCCCCCTGCCAGCGAGCTCTCGGAGCGCGGAGCCTTTAGAAATTGAGGGGTTTACTGTCAAAATGAAAATTTCACTTCAAATTATCTTGGCTGATGCTCGCTCGCCAGGCCGGGGGCTCCCGCCGCAGCCTTTTGACAGGCACATCAGCGGCGAGCTTCCGAGTCTCGATAATATCATCCAAGAGAGCCAAAGTCAATACGGTGACAGCGCGCGGGCGGATACAATCCAATTACCGCGCGGCCGGACAGGCCTGGGGCTCGGCGCCCGCTCGGCCACCCGGGGTCCCGGGCTGCCCCCTTCACTCAAGGGCTGGGGTTCGAGGTGCGGTCGCTCGGGGGCCGCGGCCCAGCGCTGAGGGGTACGGGCGAGGACCCCGAGACCGGCCTCTGGCTGCGCGCGCCTCGCGTCTCCCGCGGCCAGCTCGCCCCGACACTCGGGCCCCCGGACACCAGGCCCGCCCGGGGCGGCTCCCCGGGGGCTCGGGACCCCACGGGGACCCCTGCCCAGTCCCAACCCTCGCAGGGAGAGGCCCCGCCTCGCGTGCCCCCCCCCCCGCCCGCCCCCAGGCTGCCGGCCCCCGCCCCCTGGCAGCTTCGCCGACTTGCCGATCCGTCCTTCCCCAGGGCGCCCGGGAATGCAACCTGGCCCGGCAGGGCCCGGGGCCGAGCGCGGGCCGGTGAGGGCGACCCCGAGGGCACAGGGCGCAGCGCTCGCCCGCCGCCCTCCAGGGGCCCGCGCGGGCCCCGCGCCACCGAAGGGAGAGCCCCGCGAGCTTCCTCAGCTCGGAGGTGCGGGCCGGGCTCCTGCGGGGAGCCGGGGGGGGGGGGGGCCGGGGGGAAGCGCGGACCCAGGGGTGGAAGCGGGTGGAACCCGGGCGGGGCGGGGCACGCCCCCACCCCCAGCCCCGCCTTCCACCCGCCGCCAGCTGAGCGCTCCCCGCACCCCGGCCCCCCGGGGACGCGGCCCTGGGCTCTCCCTGCGCGGACGCGGGTGCGAGGCGGCGGGTCCCGGACGGAGGGGGGGCGGGGACGCGAGCTGAGAGGCGGTAGGAACGCAGTCCGCGCCCCCGCCCCCCGCTCCCATGGTTCCAGGGAAGTTAGAAAGTTTAAAAGTTATTCTAAGCTTGCAAGGGAAACCTCTCAATTTTCTCAAAATTGTGGTAGTGGGGGAGGGCCTCTCACCCGCTTCTCCACAGACTCCGAAAATCCTGAAGGTGTGTGTAACGTTCCTTTAAAAGGGGCTTGGCCTTGCGTCTAGGCCTCGGGAAAGGGCAGAGACCGCCGCCCACTCGGCCCTGGGGCCACAGCCCTCCTCCGCGCAGACCTCACCCACCGGGGCGTGAAACGTGTCCATTTTGCAATGCAAACACCATCACTCGGTTTATTGGTTTTGTTATATCAGCCTCTGAAGCAGGCAATTATTGGTGTGAACATACATGTAAAAAAACGTAATTTTATCGAGTTACGAGTGTGCAACAGTGTAAACGAGGTGGAAGTGCTGTTGTGGAAGGTGTGCTGAGGACAACTCAGAGGGTCAGCAGGCCGGGGGTCTTCGGAAGGAGCACCGCACGCCTCAGACCCCGAGGAGACGGCAAAACAAAGCGTCAGGACGGAAATGTCCGATCCGTGTAAACTTTGGGACGTAAACTTTATGCTTCAGGGCGGCCCCCTTCGGCTCTGAGGGCAGCCCTGTCCGGCCGGTCCCGGAGCGGAGTTCGGGCGTGGCCTGGGCCAGCGCAGGTCCAGGCGGGGTCGGGGGGCTCGTCCGTGGCCGGGGGGGGGGCGGGGGGGGGCGGCCGCCTGAACTCTGACGCGCTTTCGTCCAGCTTTGGAAACTCGGTAGACGAGGAGTCTGCGGCAGCAGGCCGCAGGCGGCCCTCGGCTCCCGGGCACGGGGCGGGCCGCTAGGCGCAAAAGGGCTTGCCCCCCGCCTTGGGCGCGGCCAGCAGCTCCTTGGCGGAGCCCGCGGCTGGGGCGTCGTGCGGGGCGCTGGGCGGGAAGGCGCGCGCCAGGGGCGTCGTCAGCACGTTGGCGCCCGTGCCCAGAGAGCGTCCCAGCGGCCCCGGGTCCAGGAGAGCGCCCTTGGCGGTGGCCCAGGCCTGGTTCAAAGTGCTGTGCCTGAGGATAGGGTCATGAAAGACCCCGTCCACCCAGTTTCTGAGACTGGTTACCGGGGAGTCCTGGTGCCTGTCCAGGGCACCGGTGGGGGCCGGCGCCGCAGGCGAGGACGACGCAGGAGCCAGGGAAGCGGCCGCAGGGGCAGCGGAGCCTTGGCGCTTGAGCATGCAGGAGGGGAACTCAGTCTGGCTCAGGGCCGTGGCGGCCGCGGTGGCCGTGTGAGCCAGCGACCAGATGCGCGGCTTGGCCTCGACGCCCGCCAGGGCCCCGGCCGGCGCGAAGCCCAGCTTGGCCTCGCACGCCTGCGCGCCGCCCCCAGCGCCGGGCTGCTGCTCGGGCCCAGACGCCGCGCTCCGGAGGCAGCTTCTGGCCCTCTCCAGGTCCGGGTCCAGGGTGGCCGCGCCGCCGGCGGCCAGGGGCATCCGGAGGGTGCCCGAGGCCTCCTTTCCCTGGGCGCTTGGACCGTCAGGCGCGGCGGGGATGCGCTCCAGACCGCCGTCCAGGGGCTGGAAAGGCGGCTTCAGCTCGCACTCGGGGGGCTCCGCCTCCAGCGGGTCGAAATCCTCCAAGTCGGTGAGCTCTAGGTCCTTCTCCTCCTTGCCCACCGACTCTGCGCGGGATAGAAAGAGGGGCGGGTGCAGGAAGAGAAGAGGGCGCTACTCCGGACCCCACTCCTCCTTTCTGGCTCTGCGACTGTGGTTATGGGCCCCACCCCCTGAGCCAGGAGAAACACCCACAGCCTTTCTTCCTCGGATCAAGGGGAGAGGGGGAGGGGAGGGCGGGTGTGTCTGTTGTTTTAAAGGTTAATTTGGATTTCTTTAGGCCTGTTCCCGGTTACCCCAGCAGGCCCCCATGGCCAGCTCTTTCATTTGTTGCCCAGGCGCTGAGTGTTCGCTTTTACTACCCCTCCCCACCCCAGGTTCAATGTCGAGAGGTCCTAGAACCCAAGAAGAAGCCACAGGGAGTCCCTGGCCAGCCTTAGCATTGCCAGCCTCCACCCACCTTCATTCTTGGTGCTCTTGAGGGGCTCCTCCCTGGCTTCCTCTTCGCCCCCTTCTTCCTCCTCGCCCTCCGCGTAGGGTCGCTTCTCATCCGCGCATTTGTTCCTCGGGGGCCACGTCATCTTGTTCTCCTTCTTGAGGCGCCGGCGCGCGTTGGCGAACCAGGTGGAGACCTGCGTGAGGGTCATCTTGGTGATGATGGCCAGCATGATCTTCTCGCCCTTCGTGGGGTACGGGTTCTTGCGGTGCTCGTTCAGCCAGGCCTTGAGCGTGCTCGTGGTCTCGCGCGTGGCGTTCTTGCGCCGCGTGCCGCTGTCCATGGTCCCGTACCTGCAGACAGGCTGGCCGGTGGGACGCGGGCCGCCACCCCTGCGCCGCGCGCGCCCGCCAGGCCCACGCAGGCTTTCGGTCCCCGTCGTGGGAGTGCGTTTACGGTAAGACCTGGATCAAACCCAGGCGCCTCGACCCTCGCCGCTGCCCAGAGGCACAGCCTTTTGTGGCCCAAGATGTTTGTATTTGATTAGACTTTCAGGGAGCCTGGGCTCCTTCCTAGCCAGAGTGGAGTGCGGACTCAGGGCCTGGCCAGGCCTCTGTCACCGAACATCGACATCCATTTCTTCGAGTTCCTTTACGGGCCCCTCTCCCAGCCTTTTGACCTCTAAACCAGGAAAGCACATCACAGAAGTGTGACCCCAGCTACATAACGGCCGTGGGCAGGAATGGTCATTAGTGTCCATGGGGAGAAAGCGTCCAGATGGCCTATGTGGACTTTCTGCAGTTAAATTTATAATTGTCACCCTGCTCTCCCCAAGATGGGCCATGCGTCTCTGGGTGAGCAGACTAGACTCCCTTCTAGTTCCCACCAAAGGGAAAATGGGCTGGGCTCTTGGGTGGGGTGGGGGGGGAGCCGTCTGAAGCCTGGGCAGCGAGACCTGACGGCCCCCAGAACCGCAGCGAGGGCTTTGGGGGTCCAGACAGCAGAGGGAGTGGGTGCGGAGGGGCTGAGGACGCATTTTAACCCCTGTAGGTCAAGGCTTGCCAAGGGGGCGGGGCTCGGACTAAGGCAAGGTCAGCGGAAACCTGACCCGAAAAACGTCCCTTCCAACCTTTCACAGACGGAGTGGGGCTGCGGGTGGTGCGCAGTTTGATGACTGAACGGAGCGCAGGGCCCGCGGGGGGCCGTGAGGAGGGGCTCCGTCCTTGGTCCCTCACCTGTCGTAGGGGTACTGGCCCAGCGCCGGCTCGTAGGGGTAGTAGGCGGCGGCCGCAGCAGGCGCGAGGCCCGCATGCGCAGATCCCGGCGCGTCCTTGGAGTCGAAGCCGTTCTGTAGGATCCCACGCGCCTGGGGTCGCAGCTTCCAGGAGGCGACCCAGCTCAACCCCCGCCCCCCAGGCCCCCTGGCTTCTGCACGCTTTGCACAGACCCCGGGGCAGCTTCAGAGGCACCCCCAGCCCCGAACTCTTTCTTGGGCCCAGGATGGGAAGAGAGGACGAGCAGAGGGGGGGCGGGGAGGTCGGGGAGTAGAGAGAACGAGGCTGTAGGGAGACGGGGGCGGAGAAGACAGGTGGGGGCTGGGGGACGGCAGAAGGGAGGAGGTGACGCGGACCAGAGAAGGGGACCGCAGGGGGGAAAGGAGAAAACTAGGGAGGAGCTAGGGGGAGCCGAGGAGGGGGAGGGGAGGAGAGGAGGGGCGTGGTGCGGGACCGGGAGGGGGAAGGGGGAGACCGGGGGAGGGGGAGGGGGAGCTCAGCGGGGGCGGGGGGGGGTCCCGGATATGGGGCGGGCACGGAACCGGAGATCCGTCTGGGCAGAACCCCAACCCCGGCGGCTGGCCGTGTTCGAGGAGCCGGGCTGGGAGGCGCAAAGTCGAGGACGCACCCCCTGCGGCGCGGGGTCCAGGGCACTCGCGCCCGGCCTCGGGCGTCCAGGGAGGTGGGCCGGGCAAATCGGGGGCAGGGGCGGGGCGGGGCGGGGCGGAGGACGGTTTCAGATAATCCCCTCCCCTTACCAGCGAGTAGAAGGCGGACGCCTCGGAGCCGTAGGTCACGTAGTTGCCGTAGCCCTGCGAGCCGCCGTACGCGCCCCCGTACACGCCGAGCGCCGCCGCCGAGCTGAGCTCGTGGCGCGCGGTGGCCAGCAGCCGGCTCTCGTAGACCGGGCAGTAGACGGGCGCCTGGGCCGGGGCGGCGGGCCCCGAGTCGGCCAGCGTGCGGCCGCCGGACTCGCAGCACGTGCTCAGGGAGTTGGTGGTCATCAGGAACTGGGGGAGAGAGAGGCCGCGAGGAGGGGCGGGCGCCTCGCCCAGGGGACGCCGCCCCACTGCCCCGGGGTGGTGCCGTCCGCGCGCGCCTCCTCCCGCCAGGAGCCCGCTCGGCCAGGCCTCCTGCAGCCCCTGGGGCCCCAGCCCCCCCAGGTCCCGAGTTTTCACGCGCACCCTGGGGGTGTGTGTAGGGGGTTCCCAGGGCCGCGCACGCCCTCCTGTGCCACGTCTCTCCTGGGGTCATGGTGAGGGCCAGAGAAGGCCGGAGAAAAGGGGGGCCCGCACGTCGTATCTCTCAGCGCCCCTGCCCTCCCCGGGGCTCGGTGCCAGAAGCGCAAGGCCCGGGCCCTGCTCTCCGGGAAGCGACACCGGGTCGCCCGCCGCCGCCCATCCAGCGCGTGCGGCCGCGTTCCCCGCACCGTCGCGGCCCCCCTTACCTGGGGTGCGGAGGAATAGGGGTATCCAAACTGCGGGTAGGACATGGCGGGGGCGGCGGGCGCGGCCGGCGGGGTCCTGCGCGCGGCGGCCGGCGTGGCGCGGCCGCTGCTCCGGGGGCGCCGGCTCCTAGGCGCTGGGAGGGCGAAGCGGAAGAGCGGGTTAATTCGTGCACGCGCCCCGCAAACTTTTCTGACCCGGGAGGAGTGTGAGCCGCGGCGGCCGCACCGAGCCGTTCAGCCGCACATTCCCGAGCCTCGAGGGGGCTCTGGGACCAAGCGGCCTCGCAGCGGCGACGCAAATACATATTTTGCAAAAAATGAAAAAAAAAAAAACAACCACCGAGTCGCGCGAACCCACAAGTCAGACGTGCCCGGCTTTAAGCGGCGGGGCCGTGACGTCAGCCACGCGGCGCAGCTCGGCTGGGCCGCGGCCTGGGGGTCGCCCCGGCGTCGGGCCGCGGGGCTGGGGGCGCGCAGGCCGCGGGGCCAACGGGCTCTGACAAATGGATTTCATCCGCGGAGTCAATACCGCCCCCACGAATGCCGTTTCTCCTTAGTCACCGAGGAGGGGAAGCACTTTTAATTAGAAATTAATTAATGAGCACCTGCTCCTGCCCGCCCCACTGTAATCATTAGTCTCAATTACAAATGAGACACGTGAAGGGACACACGAGTGCGTCTGCACCGAGATGTAATCAACAGTTAAAATTAGCCGGGCCGCGCGCCCCGACCGCTGTGTCACCGGCCACCTGCTCCGCCCCCCGCGGGTTCGAACCCGGCTCCGGGGCGGGGTTCCGGAACCAGACGCGGCTGCCAGTGTCCGCGGCCGGAGCACGGACGACACGCTCCCAGTGTGCGGGGCCTGGGGCCTTCCCCGGAGCCGCCCCCTCCAGGCCTCGGAGGCCCAACTGCTGCGCGGCTCTCCGACTGTCCGCCCTCGGTCCCCTGGGAACGCCCCCCTCCGCCCCCCGCCCCCGCGGGTCCTGTGAGTCCTGCGCGGCGAAAGGCCCTCCCTTTCCTCTTCTGCCCTTTCCGCCGGCCGCCCCCTGCCCCACGCGGCTGAACCCGGCCCTGCCAGACCCCCCTGCGCGCTCGGAGAAGCCGGTTTCGGCCGCAAGGCTCCGGGGCCCCTCGCGCTGTGCTGGTTCCGCCCGGCGACCCTCGGGGTTAGGTGCGGGGGGTGGGGGGGGGCAGGGAAGCGCTGGGATGCCTTTCCCTGCCCGTCTTGCATAGCTCTCAGCCGGGGCGTTCGGGGCAGTCGGGGGCGGGGGGACGCCCCTGCGCCCACCGCAGGACTTTCCCTCTGGTCCCGGTTCTGGGACGGTGCCCAAATACCAAGCGGAGGCCAGCCAGCACGCAGGCTGCAAAGGGGCGCCCGGCAACCCGAACTGGCCCCCCGCCTTTTATGCCGCCGCCCTCCAGGGCCCCCCACTGGCTCGCGCCCGGCGCTCTCGGCCCCCTCGGCCCCCCGCGGTCGGCCGGGAGGGGAGCTGTGCTCGGCGGCGCTGTGCAGACTTGCTCGAAAGATTCCTGGGTTCAGACCTGTGAATCGCCCCAGGGTCACCCTCTAATTAATGATGACGTTCTCCCCTCTCCCCAGCTGCAAACCTGCCTCCCAGAAACGAAATCTGCCCGCTCTGACAGCTCGGTTGAAGGTGATTGATGACTATCTGGAGACCACAGTGCGCATCATATAATATCTGCTGCGTAATTGCTTTAATTTACAGATGAAAATACGAGCTCTCCGATCGCGCTGAACCACAGCCGGCCACGTCCGAGCTGCTTGCGAAGGAAAATCATCGGAAATAATGAATAGCCGCTCCATGCAAATTATTCAGACAGTTTAAGCGTCTGTAGCCGGGAGAGATATATAAAGAACACGAGTCAAATGACATTAATAATTGTTTCTGAATTCTGTATTGATCTCGTGGCGGCCGTGTTTATTTCTTTCTCACCTGAATTGCTAATATCACCTTCCTGTAAATAATAAGAAACTAGCCACCGGGGCTTCTCGGGCAGAAATGAATCTCCCCGTCGCCCCCCCCTCCTCCGCTCCTCCCCTCCCCCATCCTCCCTCCCCCCAATTCCTTTCAGTTTCCCCGGCTTCCGCGGAGGCTTTTCTGAACGTCCTCCCACTTTCCATTATTTATTGTTTACAAACAGCCCGCTCTCTCCCGGTAACGAGGTTTGGGTGAGGGAGGGGCGGAGCGGAGAGTGGCCGCGGCTCGGGGAGGATGCGTTCGGCACCTCCCCCCCCCCCCAGGGCCCGACCCCCGCGGTGGGGAGCGCGCGGCCGGCGGGGAGGGCAGCCGCGGCCAGGGCCCCGCCGCTCTGCGGCCCAGGCTCTGGCTCGCAGCGCCGCACCCCAGGCCTGCGCCCTGCCTTTCCTTCCCCGGGCCGGAGCTCGCGGGAACGGCACCCCCAGAACACGCGAGCATCCACCTTCAGAGCCCGGGAGGGCACAGCCCACCAGCTGGGGCCTCTGGGGGCAGGGGGGCCAAGGCCTTCCTTGGACCATCACTGCAACGTTTCTCTTTCCAGCCTGAGTGCATAAAGAGACGCCCCCAGTCCCCACCCGCTAGCCCGGTTCTCCTGGGCAACCCTGGCTCCTAACCCAGGAATCAAGCTCACCTACTACCTTGCGAAGCCGCTGCTTCCTCCGCTTCCTCCCCGCTCCAGGCCTGCTGCGCCCGCACGGCCGCCTGCGTGGGGAAGCTCGGTGCTGCTTTGAGGAGCCTGGCGACCTGGCCACGGCTCACCCAGGCCCTGCTGCCGAATCCTGGATGCTGGGCCAGCCAGGCCTGTCTCCAGTCTGGAGCACACTCCCGCATGTCTCTGACACCCTGCGCCCTGGCTGAGGCCGGCCTCCCGGAACCGACATACTTTCTGGGTTATCTTTGCCCCATAGAAAATGCCGGAATAACTCTCCGAGTGCCCTTTCCCGCAAGGCCGAGCCTTGAGCTGAGGCCCCGGGGTTTCCCTCCGGGAGCAGATAGAATGGGAGTGTCAGCATCTCAGGTACCATCAGCTAAATGCTTCCGCACAGGGGCGCATGCCAACCCTGGTCCCTCGAGGGACCCTCGGTTCTGAGTGCACCCCTGAGAGGTTCCCCAGGGGCCGGGCAGCAGCTCAGCTTGGGTGAGGCGCCCCCACTAGCCTGTTGAGTGCGGAAGGAGCCCAGCCGAGGGGGCCTGCGGGTGGTTAGCACCAAACGTTAGAGGCCTACGGGTCGCCCTCTTTGCCGGGGGTGGGGTGGGGTTCTGTAGGCCGCGGAGGGCCTCTGGGAGATAGGCCGCGCCCTAACGCCCCCCCCCCGCCCGCTCCCCGCGGGGCCTCGCTCCGAGGCCGGCTGAGGCCAGGCGATCCCGGGCGGGTCCCGGAGTCGTCCCCCGAGGCCACCCCGTTCTCCGCGCCGAGAGCCTCCGGGAGCTCTCTCCGGCCCCAGGAAGTTGACCTCGGGCAGAGGGCGGAGGCCAGCCCTGGGGCGCCGGTGCCCGCCCACTGCCCGCGGACAGCCGGGCGGGGTGTGGGGCTGCAAGGCGTTCTGGATGTCGGTGGCGCCGAGGTCGGCAGGTCACTCCTTCGCGGCCGGCCCTCCAGGTCTCGGGCGAAGTCAGGCGGGCGAGCTGCAGGCAGGCGCGTTGAATCCTGCTCCCGAAGCGCCTCCATTCCCGCCGGCTCGCTCCGGCTCTCCCGCCGCGCCCCCGCCGCCCGCCCGCAGGGCGCCGCCCGAGCGGGAAAGGCGCCTGGTCGGGGCGTCCCGGGGCAGGCCCGGCTGCTGCCCCGCGTTGGCCCCCGCGCCCCGCGCCGCCCCCGCACCCCATTTCCGCAACTTGCAGCGAACGCGGCGGCCTCTGGAGACCACAGCGGCCGGCGGCAAACTTTGTGCCCTCGGGCGCAGGAGCGATCCCCGCAAAGTTTGTGCAGCCAAGCCCACTCCCTACCTGCGCTGGGGGCGCGCCCGCCCGCGCCGCTCGGGCGCCGGGGCCGCGGGGAGCAGCGTGCAGCCCGGGACGCACCGGGGAGTCGCCGCAGTCGCCGCCGCCCGCGCCCCTCGGCGGCCGCGCGGAGCCTCCGCCTCTCCGGAAGGGGGGAGGGGTCTCGGAGCCCGGGGCGGGGGCGGGCGCGGGGACCTTGCCTACCTGCGGTGGCGCCGGGCCGCTACCGGCCGCCCGCGAGGGCTCTGCGCGGCCGCTCGGCGCGCGCGCTCCGGCGGGGAGCAGGCGACAACTAATGGAGACATTTCCAGGCGGAGCACCTGGCGAGCGGAGCGCGCCGGCGTCCCCAGGCGCCGCGGTCGTCAGCCGAGCCCGCACCGCCGTGACGTGGGCGAGCGAGCGCGCTGCTCCCACCCGGCCGCCCATTAACGCTTTCCCCCCGCGGGCGCCGCGCGCTTGCCAACTTTCCCCTCCGCCTGGCCCGCGCCCCGGGTGCGTGGGGCGCAGGAGCGGGCACGGGGGGCGCCCTGGGGTGGGGGCAGGGACGCCGGGCTCGGGGAAGACGACGCAGCCGCCACGGGGCAGCAGGAAGGCAGGCCGCTTTCATCTGCCAAACCCTTCAGGGGCTGTTCGGCCGCCCCCCCCCCCCGCGCCCCGCTGTCTGGGGCCAGAGCACCGCGCCCGAGCCCGCCTCGCTGGTTCCTCGCCCCAGTCCTCCTGAGTCCTGCGTCCACGGCGTCCCCGCGCCCCGCACGGCTGGCGGAGGGCTCGGCTGCGCGCAGGGAGCGCTCAGGCCCGGGCTCCGTTCCCCACACGCCCGCCCACAGCATCGCCCCTTCGCGCGCGGGGAGCCGGCGGCGGGGCCTCTGTGAGGGCGGCTCCTGCCCACTCTGCTGTGGGGGTTGGTGCTAGGGCCTGGGGGCGGGGGTGGCTGTACAAAGGGGACAGTAACTGCTTGGGGGCCAGCACCTGCCATCTGCTCAGGACTGGGTGGCCTGACCTGGTAGCTTTCCAAAGGCTGGCTTGCACTGCTGCTGGGCCGCGTCTCCCGCCTGGGACACACCTCCGCCTGGAAAGCCAGTGGCTCCCAAGACCTGAGTCCAGGAGGGAAGTCAGTCTGGGTGGGCCCCGGGCCCCTCAGCCAGAGGGGCCTCTTGCCCTGCACCCCACCTCCCCATTGTTTCGAAGAATGAAGTCGTTCCCCTCGGATCTGTGGCCTTAGAATGACGTTCGACGTTTGTTGACTTGGATAATGTCTGGAAAAGTTATTTGCTGTCCTTCCCCGTTTTCCCTTCCAAGCTCCGTGCAACGGCTGGAAGACGATGCCCGCTCGCCTGCTTCCACACGGCCTGCTGGGTGGTGTTTGTCTCCAGGGCTCTTGCGTGCCTCTGTTTCCCCCACGGGGCAGGAGAGCCAGCCGTCCTGGCTCCCCGGCCCCGCCGCTGGGAGCTGCGGGAAGGACACGGCCTTGCTGCCTGGGTCTGCTCTGGAAACGCGGAGGGGGCCTCAGATGCGCTCGGGGCCTGCAGACACCCTTTCCGACCCTGGGCTGATTGAAGGGGGTTGTAAGAGGGGCGCCCTGTTTGTAGGGGCTTCTGGAAACATCCTCCAGGGTAAGGCGGGGGCCTTGTTTGGTTCTAGCCGGAAGGAAGTGGAGGCAGGGCGCAGAGGGAGGGGCGGCCGCTGTCCAGCCGGGAGCTTCCTCCTCCCTCTTGCCACAGGAGGGTGTTGGCAGGGCCCGGAGGCCACTGGGGACAAGCCAGGCTCCCAGCAGAGCCTCCCGGGACTTAGATTCTTCGCGTGGCTACAGATAAGCGGGCTGTTTGTGTTTACAGCCTTGATCCGGAGATAGACGCAGATTGCATTCTCTCTGGCCCTGTGGCGGCAGCCGGTGGCAGGCAGCGGACCTCTGAGAAGCGCCAGGGCCCAGTCCGTGGAGCTCAGGGCAGCGGGTGGCCTCTGGAGTGTCCACAGCCGGAAGGGCACCCGCGTCCCCGGAAGCGGCACTTCCCTGGAAGGCGGGCCCAGCAGTTCCCCCGTCCTTCTCTGGGGGGCAGGCCCTCCCTTCACTAGGCTCCCTGAAAGCCCACCTTTGAGTCCCGTCGCTTGGACGCTGCCAGGCCTGGCCTTGCCCAGCTCCCCGGCCAAGTGGCCTCCGCGGCCCCTGGCTCCCAGGACGCTGGGCCGCGCTCCCGCCCGCGCTCTGCGGAAACGGTGGAAATGCTCCAGGTCTTGCCCAGGGAGCCTGGCAGGGAAAGTCCGTCTTTGGCATGGGACTGACTGCTCCACACAGAGAGCCGGTCCGCAGCCGCAGCCACCTCTGAAGGGCAGCGGCCCCCCAGGCCGGCCGAGGGCAGCCCCCGGCTCTCCCTGCACAGGGCCGAGGCCAGGGGCTGTGCCCACCCCGGCCCCCACCTCTGGTCCCTGTGGTCGGGACTTGCTCCCTGGTGGATTCATTGTCTCTCAATCGTCTTTTGTTCGTGCTGCTGGCAGGGCTGCCCGGGTGCAATCCAAGCCCGTCTCCGTGCCCCCGGGGCCTGGCCCTGCTGCGCACCCCCTCCCAGCCTGGACGTTGCAGCGACATGCAGAGGCATCTGGTGGAGAACGTGGGGCTGGCCCGATGCGGCCTGCTGCCTGCCGGCACCCAGGGGCCTGCAGCCACGGACCCCCTCCCTGGGGACCCGTGAGGGGCAAGAGGCTTCTGCCCAGGTGGGGGAGGGGAGGCCACAGCCGCTCCTGTTTACAGCCCGGGCGAGGACGGCCTCTGAGGGATCACCTGGCACACCTGGGCGTGGGGTCCCAAAGATGCCCTTGTCCTTAGAAGGGCCTGGCCTTCTAATGGCTCTGTGGCCAGACTGAGCCGCAGAGCAGTGTGGGGCCCGATCCTGGGGCTGGACAGTGCAGAGCGACGTCGTCCATCTCTGGAAGGTTCCCGGAGGAGCTGAGGCCTGTTCCTGGTTGGCCTGGGGTGCAGGCCGGTGTTCTCCCTCCCCGTCCCTGGCCCTAGTGCGGGACCCAACTGAATTATTTAAAGCACAAAGTCTGAGTGGTTTCTTTTTCAAAGCAGCGTGGTGCCAGGGTCAGGGACAGCGACCTGGCCCCGGGACAGAGGTGCCTGAGGCCGCTACGCGGGGCGATCGGAGCGGACGAAGCTCCGCTGCCTCGTCCCCCGGGAACAGTGCCCCGGGAACAGCCTCCTTTCCTGCCCCCTGCACCCTCGTGGGCTTGGAAGGAGGCCCGGGGAGCAGCCGCTGGAAAGTTTTTCTTTCTCCTCATTTCAGAAACACGGTGTCACGTCTGCGACACTGAAACGCACCAGCAGATTTTAGGGAGGTTTCTATTATTAAAAGTGAGAGGCTATTAATTCAGACACTGTCTGCAGTCTGTGTGGTTCAATGTGAAATGTTTACCTGCTGCGGGCTGCAGTCGCGGCAGCCACACCAGAGGGAGTTACCGTAAACCTTAGAAAGAGGGGACCGCAGACGCTGCGGTCTGAACGTCATGTCTGAGTCCTTGACGGAAGAGTGGAAAAAACATCTTCCGAATGGAGAAGAAACTTAAGGCTGGGTCCTATGTGCACGAGCTTGGGGCGGGGGTGGCCCCATCGGCTGGAACTTCCAGCAGTAAAGCCCGTGTTCCCCGCAGAGGAAGGCTCCCTTCTGGACCGCCGTGTTCACGTGCACTGCTCAGCAATCGCACACAAATTGTACCTTCACGAGTGGAGGTGATGAGGTGCCATGTGGCATTTGCCCAGGCCGCTCAGCAGGTGAGGGAGAGGTGTGGGGAGCCGGCCGCACCCGGGCCACCCGGCTCTCCCAGAGGCTGCTCTGGGGCTGAGATGCCATTGAGACTGGGCTGCTGGCCTCTCCTGCTCTCCTCCCCGGACCCGCACCCTGACGCTGACCCTGACCCTGACCCTGAGCCTCACCTTGCAGCCTGGGTCTGGGGAGGTCTGTGCGGACTCCGTCAAGCAGCGCCCCGAGTCGGAGCCCTTGCAGTTAGGGGCCTTTACCAACCCTGGCCGGTCAGCCTTCCTGGTGTGCAGCGGGGGGCCCTGACCTGCCTTGCTTTTCGCCGTCCTGTGGGCACGGTGCGTCCCCTTCGAGGGTGGCCGGGAGAGTTGCTGGCCACCTAAAGAAAGCAGACCGCGTCCTCGCCGCCTCCCCGGCATCCAGGGAGCCTCACAAATCCCGCCGTAGACTCAGTGCAGCTGGCGGAGGCCAAGCGGTGACCGGTGTGACGCACAGGCTTTTAATTACTGTGGCAGCAAATCCTACAGGGATGTCCTCCAAGAGGCACCTGATTTTTATATTAAAAAAAGCCATTTCAGAGTATTTTTGAAATTCAATTAATTGAAGGCCCCAGATAAAAGGAACACATTCTTAATGGCTATAAAATAACCCCGAGGGAAAAGTGGGAGCCACAGAGCCCGACTTCAAAGTGTGACAGAAATACTTACTGTTTTACTTTAAAAGTATCCAGATCAATGACTCAGTCAAAGCCACTTATACATTTAGCAACCTTTTCATTTTCTGTGCAACAACGGCGGAAAGAGGCACTCTTCGGGCCCGCGACACGAAAGCTCTTGGCAAGGACTTGTGGTCACCACGCTCAGCCAGAAGTCACAGCTGTCCCCTCTGGGAGGCCTGACCCCCAGCACGGGGCTCAGGGGAGCCCCTCACAGGGGCCTGACAAAGAGCCACGGCCCCGGGGTCTCTCTCAGGTCTGGAGGGGACACGTCCACGGCCGAGCCGTGGGCAGGCGGGTCCCCTGGAGGCTGTGAGGCAGACCCTGTCCCAGGCATCTGTACAGCCTCTGCTGGCTGCTGGCCATCTGGGGGCTCCCGACCCCCTACTCGGATCTCTGTCTTCAGGTTCACACGGCGCGCTCCCGGGGCGGGGCCTGGTGCCTGTGTCCAAAGTTCCCGTTTCCACAGGGACTCCTTCATTTAGGGTTACGGCCACTCACTCTGGCACAATCACATCCTGATCGCACCCACGATCACCTTGTTTCCAAACGAGGGCGCGTCCTGGGTACTGGGGGTTAAAGCTGTGAAGTAGGACTTTTGAGGGGACACAACATAACAGGAGTCTGGGAAGGCTGGGTTTGTTTCTTTAGAGTGACCTCACCACCGCCGGCAGGTCCAGGGGGGACCCCACGTGTGTCCATCGGGAAGGATGGTGTTGCACTCTTTGTCCCTAACTTCTCAAGGCCTCTTGGGTCCCTTCCCCCCACCTGAGTATGGCACAGCTGTGTTGACAGTGAGCCCCAAACTGTCCCCCCGAGTCTGGTGCAGCTGTGTGGACAGTGAGCCCCAATCCATCCCCTGCCCCCCGAGTCTGGTGAAGCTGTGTGGACAGTGAGCCCCAATCCATCCCCCGCCCCCCGAGTCTCGTGCAGCTGTGTGGACAGTGAGCCCCAATCTGCTCCTGTTTGTTTCCTTTATTTTATTGCCATCGGACAGGCTGTAACCTCGCTTTATTTCTTTGCCCTCATCCCCTTCCTCCTGCACTAGAATGAGTGCTTCCGAGGTGTTGGGGGCTTAATGTAAATAGTCAGTGCACATTAAACACACAGTAGAGGCTTATGAGTGTTGAATAAATGAGGGCGTGTGGGTGACATTCTTCACAGGAGGAGAGCCGAGCAGAGAAGAGGCCTCAGGAGAGTTCTTGCGTGGGGGAATCTGTTCATGTGGGAGGTACTAACGGAGCGCCTTCCATGTCCAGGTGTCCCCTGGGACTTTGGGGGTGCACCGGCGGACAGAAGAAAGAAAGGCATCTGCCTGGGGAGCACACATGTCCTCAGAGAGAGGCAGACCAGCAATCAATGGAGTGAATGACTGTGCAGACAAAGGAGCTCACTAAATGCGAGGTTGCACACCTGTGCTGGTAATCTGGTGGAGCTCACTAAATGCACCAGTGCACACCTGTGCTGGTAAACCAGTGGAGCTCACTAAATGCGAGAGTGCACACCTGTGCTGGTAATCTGGTGGAGCTCACTAAATGCACCAGTGCACACCTGTGTGGGTTATCTGTTGCTGCACAATTGCAGACTCAGCGGTGAGTACTGCTTCCTGCCCTCACTTCCGGGGACCAAACACCTTCTCTCCCGGTGCCGCTGGCCTTCCGTGGACCTCCCTGACGTCCACTCCTGCTCAACTGGCTGTGAGACTGCAGAACCCTGTGACCGCGTTCTCTGACCTCTGACTCTCATGAGGTTTCAGCAAAAGGCTGTGTGGTCGTGGGAGGCACGGTGGGCTCTCCTGGCTTGATCTCTCTGATTTTCCTTGTTCCCGGCCTGCTCCATCTTGCCTCTGGCCAAGGACTGCGGGGGGTTGGTGCTGGGCGGTGGGGAGCTGGCGCTGGCGGCCCCTTGGTGCCATGCTCGGGATGGGTGCCTTGCCTGCTGCCTGAGGGCACCGGACCCCATGACTGTCTCTGGCTCGCCCCCCCCACCCCCGTTCCTGCTCCCTTCCACCTGCTGTGGCAGACGGTGGCACCTGAGCTGGCCGAGGCTCCTCCAGGCTCCGTGGATGGGATGGCGTGCTGACCTGGGTGGGCACACTGAGAGCCACAATCAGCCACGATTCAGCCACTGTGTGCTGGAACTGTTTGTTACGGCAGCTCGACCTCTCCTATCTGACTGCTGCGGTTACTCTTTTAATCATATTATAATATAATTGTATATTATTATGTGGTTGTGCTATAATGATAAGTCACATAATTATAAATTCAAATTGTGTGTTATTACATAATTATACATTACAATATAACTTTCAATACAGAGAAAGTACCTAGAAAGAAGCACTATCTTAAAGAGAAAATCTAACCTAAGGGCAAAATATACAATATACAGGCCACGAAAGGCAGGAACTAGACTACGTGCCCTTTCACGGCTGCCATGCTCATGAGAAGTAATGTTTTCAAGAAAATCGCTGAACTTACCCATGAATATTTCCTATTTATGAGCGTTTCTGGTGCCTCCCCTCCCGCCCTGGGGCCTCTCCGAAGGACCAAGTGTCCACACAGTATGGCAGCCGGTTGCTCGGTCGGGGGTGTCTGTCGGCCTGGGAGTCGGGGACACTAAGTAGCCACTGCACCGGCCGCTGGTGACAGGGGCCACAGTGAGCGTGGGGGAGGGAGGGCTGTTTTGACAGGTTTGAAGGATTTACAGAAAAATAATGATGAGATAGTAGGCTGCAGTTTAAACTAGCAGACCAAAGCAGCAAGAACCAGGGAAATTCCACTGTGGCCTGGATCTATCAAAATCTTATTTCTTGTAGTTTAGGAAGAACAGAATATTTAATATCATAACATTAATAGTAAATAATAATATGACATAATATGTATTATTATTGTATCTAATTTTAATGATTCAGTATTAAATGACAACATTTCCTATTGTTGAGGGTACATTTGACTTAACAGAAATATTTTATTTTGTTAAGTAAAACCGCGTGGTGGGGAGCGGGGCCCGAGACAGCGGACGCCTGGAGCAGCGGCGCGGGTCAGAGAGCCTGCTGGCCTTCTTTCACTTTCTTCTCTTTCTTTTTTCTTTACATTTATTTATTTTTGAGAGACAGAGAGAGAGAGAGAGAGAGCGCGCGCAAGTGGGGGAGGGGCAGAGAGAGAGGGAGACACAGACTCCGAAGCAGCTCCAGGCTCCAAGCTGTCAGCACAGAGCCTGACGTGGGGCCCGAACCCACGAACTGTGAACCATGACCTGAGCCGAAGTCAGAGCTCAACCGACGGAGCCACCCGGGCGCCCCAAGCCTGCTGGGTTTCTGTACGTTAGAAAAGAACAGGAAGCTTGTAAACGTGACCAGAGGTAGTCTGTGGCCAGGGTTCTCTGCGCAGATTCCACTGGTGTTTTCCGTGACAACCAATGGAGTGAGGTTACGCGGTGATGACGTCAGTCCTTCTGGAAATGAGGTTTCCTTCTCCATGTACTTCCTCCCGGCATCTCCCTGGACCCCGGGGGTCCTTGTGCCTGACACACGTCCGCGGAGGTGGTCACCTGACCCGCTCTGGGCGTGCTGCTGGCGCGTGCGCGTGTGGGGCGGCTTGCTGCGCCACCAGAACAACACACTTGTGCGCCACACTTGTGCGCCCACCAGAACCACGCGCGGCGGCTGGGCCAGCAGTCGGGGCTAGTCTGGCCGTGGGGTCACCCTGCTGGACATGCTTCTTCAGAGCCTCGGCCCCACAGCCTGGCGTCCTGAGAGCGTGCGTTGTGCCCGTGGGGCCAGCCGTGCTGTGGGTGCCAGGGGCTCCCGACGGCCCGAGCGCAGCCGCCGCCCAGGGCTTGCATGCTCTTCCAGTCCCAGCCCGCTGACGGGGTCGCCACCATGTTTGAGAGCCTGCGCACACAGGTGGTATCTTCTGACGTCGCTCCCAGAGCCTGGGGTGCGGGGGCGGCCCAGGGCTGGGTGGGCCGCTCCCTCCACAATCAGGGACCAGCTCAGCTGTAGACCCGCCTCCCTTCTTGGCATGCCTATCAGGGCTGGGGCCTGTCCAGTGCCCGGGACCCCTATCATAGCCAAGGCTCAGACCCCCTCCCAGCAGGGCTGTCCTGCTACCTGCAAAGAAGCTGTGTGGTGTCTGGTCCTGGTACAGCAGAATGCTGGAAGGGAAGTCGACTCACAGGGCCCCTGAATCTGCGGAGTCCTGATCGGGGTCCCGGCCCCCGGAGCAGGAGGCTCACAGCCTGGTTGGACCCCAGCTCACACCCTTGGGCACGGTGCCGAGGGGGCAGACTTGAGATGGTGCCCACGGGGCCCCGGCTCACTCCGTCTCCCCCACCCCCACCACACACTGGGACTTGGTGCCCTTGTTATGCCTTGTTGGGAGGGGGAGGGGAGAGAGAGGGTGGCCGTCATACTGGTCAGGACGGGGCCTCTGCAAACACCAGGAGCCTTCCCCCGTCGGCCCTGGGCCCGGCTGGAAGAGGCGGCGTCTCATTTTGGGTCTTCCGACCTTCACAGTTCAGGTGAGCGTCTTCCGCAACATTGAGAAAAGGCTGCTGGTCTTCTCTTTAATTCCTAGTTTCTGTGGCACTGGGGGCCGGCGGGGGGACTGAAACATCGTGAACACTGGGAAATTTCTATGCGTAAAACTTTCAAAACACATTGAATTGGTACTTTGAGACTGTGCTTCTTGCCCAGATTTCTCTTTGCAGCCACCGTAAGACAGAGATGCCCACGGGGGCCCTGCAGCCGCCTGCGGCCGTCTGCAGCCAAAGGCCACGGAAACCAGCACCGCGAATTGTACGGGGACAATGTCCTCATAAGCAGCCCAGAAACAGCGTGCGGTGCTCAACCCAATAACGTTTTCAGGGTTTCTCTGTGGGCCCCAGCAGCCCGGTTCCATACGGTGAGTTCTGGAAGGCAGGCAGGCGCCGCGCTGTCAGGGAGCGAGTGAGCCGCCTCTATCGGCCGGCGCTTCAGGCACGGGCTCAACGGGGAACCGACATCTTCCTGGCCTCGCTGCCTCTCAGTCTCCTCTTCCGGTTTTGTGTGCTTGCCGCTGATCTGCTTGCTTAGGTCTGATGTTGCCCTTGGGCGGCCTCTCCCCATGGGTCACGGTCTTCGGGGGTCCAGGTGGCACAGGCCACACGCCCAGACGGCAAGTGCTGGGCCCTTGGGACGGCGGGCTGCAGCGTCACCGTCCCTTGTCCTCAACCGGTGACATCGCGGGGGCCTCTCGGCAGCGGCGCCACAGGCGGGGAAGCATGGCGGGCAGGTGTGGGAAGGCCTGGCCGGTGGGGGTCCGGGGCCCGGGCTGCCCTCCGCGCGTGCCCAGCCTGGCTCCCAGAGGGCTGAGGATGGAGCCCGGCCACGCCGGACCTGCTCCCACTTCCACGGGCTCCAGACCCTGTCACTGAGATGCGTGGACTCTCCCACATCCGCGGCGGGAGAGGACCAGGCTGCGGGGGACGTGGTGGGTGGAGCTGCACACGCAGGGGCGGGTGTGGACCTATGGGTGCCAGACTCTCGCGCATCACTTCCACTCTTAACCCAGAGAATCAGCTCGTAGGGCACGGACACCCTACTCTCCTCTTTCAACCCCACATTTTAAATCTATTCCTCACGGAAAATTCCAGGCATCCACAAAGCTAAAGAGGACTAGAATGGAGAGCAAGCAGGTGCCCATCAACCGGTTTCAAGGATCATGCGACTTGGGGCCAGTCCCACCCGCGTCCCTATCCTGTCTGCTGTGGAGCAAGCTCAGGGCGTTTGGGTGCAGGTAAGAGGCAGCGGCGTGTCCGTCTGTCCCCGGGGCCGTCAGGCCTAGAACAATAGCCCTTCTCCCCAAGTGCGCAGTCGGCGAGCCCTGCTTCCTGGTTTTCACCCGGTTTGTCTTACCGTCGGCTGACGGGCGCTCCAGCGCCTGAGCCAGCCCGCGCCCCCACGTGTGATCTTCTCCACGTGACACTCACTCTTGAAGTGATGTTTTGCTGCGTAACAGGATGTGACTTCCTGCCACGGGATCACATTCTGCTCTCAGGACCCCTTTCCCAGGACCGTGCGGGGTTTGCTAGAACGACGCACACGACTCCTGCCGTCACCGCCAGGACACGCTCGGGCCCCGTGTGCCACCCAGCTGCGAGAGCCGGGCCGTGGGCTCCTGCCCCTCCCCCCCCGAAGTGACCTGGGGGGGGAGTTTGAGAAACAGGGATGTATAACCCTTGCTGTCAGGACCCCGAACCCCATGGCTGGGCGCCCGTCAGGAGGGGCTGCAGGGTCCTCGGTCAGGGCCGGCCCAGCTGGCGGCCTCGGCCACACCTTCCTCCTTCGAGTCCACGGTGCTCCCGCCTCAGTCCTCGCGGGGCTGGGTGTCCCCTGGGCGTCTGCCAGGACCCCGCGTGGCCAGCCCGTGGCGGCCGGAGGAGACGGGGCATAGGGGCCGTGGGGGGAGGCCGACAGAGAGCCACCTCCCTTGGCTCAGCTCTTCCGGAAGACCCGGTACCTGTCCTTCCACACCCCACCAGAAACAGCCACGAGAACGAGAGGGAACCTGCCTGGTCCCGGCTGTTCAACCCCCCACGCACCTGCGCGCCCCGGACGGGCGTCAAGCAAGCGGAAGGCGGGGCTGAGGGTGCCTTTGTCGGCCGGGTGCTCCTTCCTGTGTCTCTTCTGATTCCGGAGCGAGCTCTCCCGGAACGACGGCCGTCTCTTCTGAACCCAGTGGATTTTATGGTGCTCAGAACTGTTTTTCACAAGCACCTCACTGGAAAAATATTCTTCAGTAGTGCCTGCCAGCATGCTGACGTATAAAAAGAATTGAACGCACTCAACGACTTTCCCATGGTTTAATCCGTTGCCCCACCTCTGAGAATTCGGGAGGGTCCAGACAATAACCAGAATCATATTGTGGAGAAGACCTCCATCACGGCTGCGCTCGGGGCCGGGCCTGAGACACACAGGGTCTGTGAGCCCCGGGCCCAGAGCACAGGCCCCCGGGGCCCCGAGGCTCCTCCCCGGCCAGCCCCGGCCCCGGGGAGAAGCAGGCTCCCCGCACGTGTGTCTCAGAGGAGCGACGAGGAAATGCACCCCCCCACCCCCGCCCTGGTCTGCCTGTCCGTGCGCCCTGCGTGCGGATGGACCCTGACCCGCCCGGGCCAGTCGCCCCACCCCTCCTGCCCTGTGACTTCCGGAGCGCAGCGAGTTATCAGTTGTCCTAGGAAACCACCCTGAGACTTCTCCCAGACCTCCCGTGGGCCGGCAATCTGGACGAAGCCCACGTGGGGCCTGGGCTTAGGGTCCCCTGTGAGGCCACGAGCCGGCAGCCGGGGCGGGGATCCTCTGGAGGGTCCGCGGGGGGAACACCGGCTCCCAAGGTGGCTTACGCGGCTGAGGCCGGGATTCGATCCCGCGAGGACTTGGGGACTAATGACCTCAGTCCTGCGGTGGAACAGCAGTGTGTGGCCTGAGGCTTCTGCTGTGTTTGGTGTGTTGCTGTGAGCGGCCAGGCCCCGCCGCCCACACCCAGGACAGGCGGCAGCGGCGGGGAGGGGGGGGTGAGGGCCCGCACCTGCCATGCAGTCTGCTCACTGTGATGGGAGGGAAGTCAGCCCGGGGTTCTGGAAAGAGTTCTCTGTGGCAGAAAGACATGGAAGGAAAGGGCCTCCCCTTTTGCCAGATGTGGCCTCATCTGGAAGTGACCCCTGGCATGAGAGGTGTTAGTGCCGATCGGGGGCCAGGGCCCAGGGAAGGCGGGGAGGTGGAGGCGGCCGCCTGCCTGTGGACGTCCCGTGGTGGGCGTGACGAGTCCACCTGCGTGTGTGGTGCCAGGGGTCCTGACCCCCAGCCCTGCGCCCACGCTCCTGAGCTTGCTCACTCGGGGCTCGATTCCAGTGGCCCAGTGCACGCCCTTCCCCGGCTACGCCTGCGGCCTCTCGCCGAGCAGAGCCGCTGGTGGTCCTGGGTGGGGTTTCATTATCGCCACCAAACCATGGCCGTCAAGATTGGGTTAAAATAATTGTTATTACAATTTAAGAATGAGATGTAGTTCTTATTAGGCTCAGTTTGTTTCTTGAGTTAGTCTGTTTTCTGGGGGCAGGCTGCATGGGCTGCTGGAACGCACAGGGAGGGTCAGGTGGGCAGGGGGAGGCCGAGGTGGGGGGAGGGCGGGAGGCCGGTCGCCGTGAGTCCCCACGGGGGCCGTGCGGCAGGAGACCTGACGGCTCAGGTGAGCTGCGCACCTGGAGGGCAGCTGAGAGCACCCGGGGTGGCAGTGGGGGTGAGCCGGGCGCTGGAGATCACATGCGCGTTCCCACTAGCAGCGAAGAGGCCACGAGTGGGCTCCGTCCGAGGCCGCGGGGCTGGAGAGGGGGTGCGGGTGGGGGGACTCGGCACCAGCAGAGGGGCGTGCGCCCCTGATGGGCTGGGACCAGCGAAAGGTAAGTTGGGCAGAACCTGACGCCCTTTGCTGCCTCCCCAGGTGCTGGAGCCCCGCCTCCGCCCACCCACGTTCCTTTTCTCCAAAACAGAAGGGAGCCTAGAGGCAAAGGCTAGAAGTCAGTCCATGAAGTCAGTCACCTGGTTCAATGGAAACACTTCGCACGCCGTGCTCTCAACAGCAATGCCAACGACACAGTCACTGCTTCCGCCTCCCTGCCGCACACTCAACTCTGTAGACGCTTGTGTGGACTCCTCTGTGCCCGGCCCACGTGCTGCTGGTCACCCTTGAGGCGGGACACAGTGGAGACTGGTGGTGGCACAGGGCGTAGCCAGCCCCTGCCCTGCATATCTGGAAGTGACCCCTGGAATGGGGGTCCCTTCTGCCCTTCCCGGGGCCCTCTTGAACACCGGATGGTGGCATTCAGCTCGTGGGAGCCAGCTTGTCATTTGCCCATTGCACTTGGGACTGTGGGACCCCCAGCACCCCCTCGGGCAGACCGTTGGCTGATGGGGGCAGGGGTCGTGCACACGTGCCCTGTTCTGCTAGCCCTGCCTAGTGGAGGTGCAGGCTCACGTGCGGGATCCCATCACACTGGTGACAGGCTCAGCGGTGGCCTCAGATCACTTTCCGTCCTTGTCCTTGGTTCTTCCCAGGCCCCACGCCTGCTTCCCGGGGTCACGTTCTCCTAAAGAGCCATTCGCACACCAACCCTTATCCTGCACTCCACGGTTTTGGGTGAGGACTCAGGTGAGGTGACGTCTGGTCCGGGCATGGGAGGGCCACTCATGGTAGATGCAGGATCCAAATGCCCGAGGGAGCCCCTCGATGGTGCAATTCCCGTAGTTTGTGCGTCCGTGCTGCAGACAAGTTCGTGCAGAATTTTACACGCGAGGAGCTGAGCCCTCTTGGCAGTGACTCCGCCAATGCCCCCTGCCTTCTGGAAACTCCTCTCTTGAGCATGGACTGTGTAGACACTGCAGGGGCGGAGACTGTTCGTGCACGTAGCAGCCCGTGTCCACCACGCTGTCCAGAATGGAGTCGGGTGGAGCACGAACTTCCTGAGTAAATGAATTAATGAAATTAAGTAAACAAACAGGTGCCATTTGAGGAGTTTTTGCTGTAAACAGGGGCCAGGTTTTGTGTTTCACATCTATGACCTAGTAAGCCCCAACCCCTTTTCGTGTGTGAGCTACAGAAGCGGCCAGTGTGGAGGCCAAGGCTCCATCCCAGCGGGCCTCCTGAGTGACAGTGTGGACCCCATGATGCTCACAGCCCACCCCCAATGTGAGCACCCCAGGGGCTGGCCAGTCTCTGAGGGGCAGATACCCACGTGGGAATACTACAGAGGCAACGGTTAACCTGCCCCATCACATGCTTTTGTAAATAAAGTTTTATTGGCACACAGCCATGATTGCTCGTTTCCATACCCTGTATGGCTGCCTTCACATGGCAAGGGCAGAGGTGGGTAGTTACAGCCGAGAATGTATGTCCCACAAAGTGTAAATACTTTCTATTAACATATAGTCTGCTACATATGTCAGTCAGAGTCCCTGAGGGAAAAGGGACAGCAATGGGGAAGAAATATTCCAAGGTATCGCTCAGAATTTTCCCCAAATTTGGTGAAAGTTTCAACCCTATGGTCCCAAAAGGGTCCGTGAGGCCCAAGCAGGAAAAACATAAAAAAAAAAACCCCAAGAAATGGGGACATCACAAAGCACTACAACCTCAAAATGAAAACAAAGCCTCACAGCAGCCAGAGGAACATAAAACGTTCTATTCAGGGGGAGCCTGGGTGGCTCAGCCGGTTAGGCGTCCGACTTCGGCTCAGGTCATGATCTCACGGTTTGTGGGATCAAGCCCTGCGTGAGGCTCTGTACTGACAGCTGGCTCAGAGCCCGGAGACTATTTCTGCGTCTCCCTCTCTCTCTGACCCTCCCCTGCTCATGCTGTCTCTCTCTCTAAGAAATAAATAAAATATTTAAAAAGAAACAAACAAAAAACCTTTCTATTCAGGAGAAGAGCAGGCAGACCGATAGCTGAGTTTTCATCAGAAACCATGGAAGTTAGGACAAAAATCAAAGGTTTCATGCTAGAATATTCCATCGTCACTGAGAACGTCACACATCCATGAAGGTTAAGTACAGAGATTCTCTTGATGAACAAAAGCTGAGTAAATTGGAGAGGGGGCAGAATGTTGACACCATTCTCCCCGTTTCCTTAGAAACCTGTTGAATACACAAAAATAAGTTACCAATGTGTTATGAGTTTTATGACATACATAGGCATAAAATGTGTGATGAATATACCTGGATCCGGAAGGGAGGGGCCACGTGGTTCGAGAGGTGACCCAGTATCCACGCAGGGCAGACAATGCGTTAGGTGTGCGGTGCGATCGCCAGCGAGGCCGCGAGTACGACACGGCCAGGAAGCTGAGCTGGGAAATCAGTGCGTGTCTGGAGAAGCCCCCCAGCATGAACGAGGCGCCACTAGGGCGTTTGGAAGGAGCACAGCATTTCCCTGCGTGTGAAAACAGGACATGTCGGAACCTGCCAGAAGCAGCTAAAGCCGTCTTCTTAGGGTGCCTGTAGCATTCGATAGCTGTATTTTAAAAGCACAGTTGAAAATCAATGATGTTTCCTGCTTGAGAGTTTAGAAAGAGAAAAGGGAAATGAATGTGAAGAGGAAAGAAGAAATAACAAAAGTAAGAGAAAAAAAATCAATACAACATAAGCCAGATTTCCCCTAGAAGATAAGGATCTTGGGGAAGTTAATAAAAATTGGCGAGTCCCAGAGACTGATCAGGACGACGTTAGGAAGCACAAATTGCCAATATCAGGAACGGAACAGGGAACACTCCTGTGGGTCCTCTGGACGCGAACAGACTAGCCAACGGGTGTCACGTGCAGCCTCACGCGCAGACGGGCCGACGCGGCGCCAGACGCGGGGGCGCCCCCACTTCCTCCCTGTCAGACCTGCCCTGACGCGGTGCCTCAGTCCTCTCCCTCCTCGTGCTCCCGCACGCAGGTGGGGTTCTTTCTGCAGGTATGCGCTCAAATACATGTCTCAACAGTGGCCTGGGCGCCGTGGTTGGGGCACCAAAGAACATGAATGTGGCGTGAGCTTTGCAGGTTCTGACATCACACACACCTCTCATCCCGCAGCACGAGGGGACCACACACACCCCGGTGGTAGACGGCACGCACCCCACGGTGCGCTCCCCGTCTCCCGTGAGGGAGTGGAGGCTGGCTTTCCCTGAAGGAGCTGTGGCCGGCGCGGTGACATCGGCAGGGGCTGGAAATGTGCCTGCACGTGGGGCTTCCCACTCTGGCTGGGGGGCCCTGGCCACCGCGTGGGTGTCCCCCGTGGCCCAGCCAACAGCCGGCCCCACTGCTCTCGGGGAGCAAAGCCAACCTGGACCTTCCACTGGCCAATGCGGCCCCCTTGGTTTGTCCACCAACAAGGCATGGACCCGTCTACACAACTGTGGATGGTTCTGAGCATGGCTTTGTCCAAAGCTGCTTGAGTCATTGGGTGGGTGCCTACAGGGGTACCTCCTCTAGGCCAGGGTCAACCGTGAGGTCAGCAGAGAGAACCTCAGTCTCCCCTTCGCCAAAGCAGGTAATACCCAGGCCCTTTGGCTGTCAGACCCCATTCCACGTGCTCCTCCACCTGCTGGTGTGGGGACAGGTGTGGGCCAGGTGTGCGTGGGGGGAGGTGTGGGCCAGGTGTGCGTGAGCTGTGGCAGGTGTGGACCAGGTGTGCGTGGGGGGNGTGTGCGTGGGGGGAGGTGTGGGCCAGGTGTGCGTGGGGGGAGGTGTGGGCCAGGTGTGCGTGGGGGGAGGTGTGGGCCAGGTGTGCGTGGGGGGAGGTGTGGGCCAGGTGTGCGTGGGGGGAGGTGTGGGCCAGGTGTGCGTGGGGGGAGGTGTGGGCCAGGTGTGCGTGGGGGGAGGTGTGGGCCAGGTGTGCGTGGGGGGAGGTGTGGGCCAGGTGTGCGTGGGGGGAGGTGTGGGCCAGGTGTGCGTGGGGGGAGGTGTGGGCCAGGTGTGCGTGAGCTGCGGCCAGCAGAGCTCACACAGCTGTCTGCACGCACCGTCCTTGTCCTGCATCCCTGACAGCCCTTCTCCATCACCTGTGGTCATTTCCCCCAAGCTTGCACTAAAGGGTGGAATTTACAGGGCTCGGTACATGTGTGGCACTGGGACCCCGAGACCATCCCCCCTCCCTGGAGGAGGGCGAAGCATGGCGGGATGCTGTGCGGAGCCCGCCAGGCTGGGGTGCGGGCGGCCTGTTCCCCAGCAGTCTGTTCCCCGGGTTGGCCTCCGACACTCACAGCTCCTGGAGGCTCAGCCCGGGAGCCCCGACCTCATCTTGCTGCCTGCCCCACGAGCCTCCAGGGTCCCTGTCGGGGGCATTAGCTCGGCCGTTTCCTGGGCCAACAGGGATGAT